TTACTTTCTTTACTAACTTTCTTACTTAATTTACTTTCTTTATTTACTTTATACACTAACTTTACTTACTTTCTTTACTTACTTTCTTACTTAATTTACTAACTTTACTTAATTTTTTACTAAGTTTACTTACTTTCTTTACTTATTTTCTTAATTTATTTACCAATTTTCTTAATTAAATTACTTTCTATACTAACTTTACTTACTTTCTTTACTAACTTTCTCACTTAATTTACTTTCTTTACTTTATATACTAACTTTAGTTACTTTCTTTACTTCATTTAATTACTTCCTTTACTAACTTTACTTCCTTTCTTACTTTATTTTTTACTTACTTTACTTACTTAAATCACCACAAACAAATGTTTAGTCAATTTTTATTTTTATCTTGGGTCAGGTCAAATAACTAAAAAACTAACAGAATAAATCTTGGCCTTAAAGTGATGTCAAAACAAATTAATTACAATAAATGAGAAAGCAAATGTAGTTAATAAAAGTATAAAAAAAATTTGAGCTTGCAGGAAACGGTTATAATCAAACAAATATTTGCATTCACTTGCATCAATTACATAATAAGAACTGAATCTTACACTTCCCACAATGCAGTTTGATTCTGTCAATTACTACATCTTTACTCTTGTTAGAATCCCAACACTTTTATGACCACATTCATCAACCAGTGACGTGCAGTCAGGGGAGGCAGGTGAGGCAGTGCCACACCTGTCATCATGACAAGTAAAATACTAACAATGATAAGAGAAAATTTGACCAATTGACTGTTCTATAAAACTGTTCTATAAAACTGTTCTATAAAACTGTTCTATAAAATTGTTTTCTGAATTATTTCAACACTTTGTTGGTCAAAATCGCAGAATTTACACAATGCCTGTTCAAACATGCAATAAATGCGCTGGGTGACTCGGGTGAGGCAGTGTAGCGCTCTGGCTCACCTCTGGGGGCGCAGTGTCATATACATTATATGAAGGAGGTGGTTGGCACATGCCCATTGCTGCCTCTTTATATTGCCAATATACAGGTTTGATTACACATGTGCTACACATGTTGATGTTCTACAGTCAGTCTAATATATTGAATGCATGTGTGTGACATATTTCTTCTTTCTAATTGGTCATAAATGCTCGCTGAAAATACACAGAGGTGAGACAGAGTGTACCTTGCCACACCGATAGGGGGCAGTGCTGCCCCATAGGGACGATGAAGCAGGTGCAGTCTTCTGTTATGCAGAGGGGCGGGTGTGTAGCCAATCGGTACACTCATTTAAATTTGTTTAGATAAAATGGATGATCATATCTCAAAACTGATTTTTCTAAACTAGATTTTCTGTCGAAACAGAAGGTATTAGAGACAGGATGAAAAAAGGGGGAAAAAGGCTCAATTGAAATATAAGCTTCTATTTTGGGTTTACATATGCGAGCATCCGATTCCAGACGAGTCAGTGCCTCACCTGTCACAAACCTCACCGCATGTCACTGCCATCAACCCATAAGCAACCGTAGACAAAATACATATTACAGAAACCATTTATAGGTTTTTATGATATCAACTGCTGATTTAACCCTTTCAGGACTGCAGGGCTTTGGGTCTGCAGATTAAGACAAATTTGTAGACAAATAATTAAATGTGTATAAGCCTACCATTGCAGGTCCTGTCATGAGCAGAGAGCAGCCGTGGCAGAGCTCTCCAAACTGCTCCCAGTAGTGTTTCTGACAGTACAGCCTGCCGTCCTTCTCATAGTACCAGTTAGTCAGGTGGTCCGAGCACACGGAGCATCTGAGGAGAGACACGTCCAGTCAGATACACAGAACAAAGGTGAGGAGACTCTCAGAGGCCTCATGCTATCCTGCAGTCACACTGTGAACAAAGGTCAGAGTGATAACTTCAGTGTTTTCATGTGATATTTGTTAGTCTTAACTTAATGTAACATAATAAACACAACGTTTACACGTATACACATGGGTACAGGAGTAAATAACTAAACATTTAGATCTTTATGTACAATTTTTTAGCAACTTCTTTGGAGTGCACACATTTCAACTTTTTTTTTGTCAAATCTTGCTGCAATTTATTTTGTAATTTGCAGTCAGCATATTTCTATTTCTGTAAGTTACAAGGTTCTTTAGAGATGTTGCAGGATTCTGCCTGAAAAAAGTTATTTGTGTTATTCTATTTTGTTTTTCCTTTTCTCACCATGGTTATGTAATGTGGACATTGTGCGTATTTGTTCACAAGTTGCTATTGATCACTAATTTAATCAGCTGTTTGCTGCCAATGATTTTTTAATTTGTCTATTGTGTTTTCCTTCTTGTATCAGAATGGCCCGATCACCCACCGTCCGAGCTTTATTCACATCTCAGTCAGTAGATCAGTGCTTACAACACCCTGCTCTTTGGTGCAGTGCTTGATCATACAAGGAAGTTTATACTTTAAATCTCTTTCATTTCATTAATTTACAGTGCGAGTTTCCTCTGTTTAACAGGGTGTATGGCACGATAAGATGTTTAAAAACTCATATGGGTGCTGTGATGTTTTCAGCAATGCACTATTGTAAGAAAAAACAACTTTTTCAAGTGGTGAAAAGATTTGACATGGTCAAATTCTCTGATAACGTTAAGCATCTTCATGGGAAAAAGTTCTAAAGAAAACAACCGATCAGGCAAAAAAACACATATCTACAAGGACAAAGTCTACTGCATCCAGTTGTTTATTCTGCATTTACTGCTTACCTTTTCTTAAACTTATCACTGTCCATTCTCTTATCACAGTCAACGTACAGACCACCAAGTGATCCTGTACAACTTGAGGTCACGAGCATGACGAAAACCATCAAAACACTTCTAGGTTTAGTCACGAGCTTAAGTTTCTAACTACGGTGAAAAAATTAACACTTTAAAAAGTGTAATAATATGCACTGGAACAACTGTTAATCTAAATGAATGTAGTTCCTGTTTGACTACCTCAGGTGCTGATTGAGCTGTCACCTGAGGAGATACTTGGCAAAGCAAAGGGTCGTTTTCAGCTGCAGCGTTGTGATAAAATGTTCAGAGAGGAGAACGCTAAAGTTGGCAGCAAACTAGGAAGACTTACACGTGACCCTTAAATGTGCAGCACCGGTTACGCAGATAAATTACCAGAGTGTGAAATGAAGTTAATGCATGTCTGCTGTCATTTTTTTTATGTTGATGCTTTGCAAATATTCTTACAAACAAACCTTCCTGATTGACAACTCTTCTCAGTTCAGGGCGTACGGCAGGACTAGAGGCTCAAATGATGATAGAATTTTCATGACGGTGGCACAATCATATTCACCTTTTATGAAACTATTTGAAAGTAGTTTATCTGCATTTTTATTGTTTTGGTACGAGGAGTTCTGCAGCCCTCAGCTTCCAGCCGCACATCACGTTCTCTGCATTGTAGGTAAAGTTGATGCAGCATTATTGACTTTGGGACAGAATCCAGACATTTCAGAGTTTACTGACATTACTTAAGAAGGAGCTGCCCTGCAGACTGAAGACCACATGTTTGTGTCTTAACAGCAGAGTGAAAAGAGTAAAAAAGAAAAAAATAATTGGCTCCCAGCAGTCAGAACGTCAAGTTCTTTACATCAAGGGACATTAACGATGATAGCAAAAGTGTCTTTGGATGAGAGGCGGGTACACCTTGGACAGGTCACTGGAGTCATTAAGATCATTTACAACCATTCACCCTCACACTTATCTACGGTTTAGAGGAGCCAGCTAACCAAGCATGCATGTTTTTACCATACCATATCATATTATTTATAGAGCACTTAAAACAGCTACAAGCCCAACCAAAGTGCTGTACAGACAGAACAACAGACAACACACGAAGCAATATACAAAATGAAGTAAATCAAAAATATAGAAAAAAATAATAATAATAAAGACATAAAATAGATGCAGATAATAAATATGACGACAAACCAGTGTGGAGCGTACAGGTTTAAAACACAGATCATCTGGTGTTGAAAGCTACTGAATAATAGTAAGTTTTTAAATGGGATTTGAAAACCGAGAGGGAGGGGGCCTGTCTGACAAGCAGAGGTAACTCGTTCCAAAGTCTTGGTCCTGATACAGAGAAGGCTCCGTCACCTCTGCGCTTAAGACAAGTTCCTGGAACTATGAGGAGCAATTGGTCCGCTGACCTCAGGGAACGTGGTGGGACATACGGTTGTAGCAGATCAGAGAGATTGGGGGGGGGGGGGGGGGGAGAAACTGTTCAGCTTTTTGTAGACATACAGGAGTATTTTGAATTGGATTCGAAGGTGAACCGGTAGCCAGTGCAGGGAGGCCAAAACTGGTGTAATGTGCTCTCTTTTGCCTGTACTGGTTGAAAATCGGGCTGCTGCATTCTGGACCAGTTGTAGTCCTGCAATGGAGGTCTGACTGATACCAAACAGGAGTGAATTGCAATAATCAAGCCTAGATGTACTGAATGCATGTATTACTGTCTCCAGGTTCTTTTTGGACAATATGGGCTTCAGTTTAGACAGCCGCCTCAGCTGGAAGAAACATGATTTAACAATCATGTTTACATGATTGTTGAGTTTCAGGGAAGGGTCCATTTGCACTCCCAGATTAGTGACTCTTTGTTTTTCTGATAGGGATAAAGTGGAAAAGTCGATGCAGTGGTTTGTGATCGTGTCGTTGGGAGGAAACAACATGACTTCAGACTTCTTTTCATTGAAACTTAAGAAGTTTAAAGCCATCCAGTCCCTGATGTCAGCCAGGCAGTTGAGCAGCAGTTGAATAGAGCATGTACCATTGTGTCTTAGGGGGAAGTAAATTTGACAGTCGTCGGCGTAGAAGTGAAATGGTATGTTGTGTTTCCGGAAAATAGCACCAAGTGGCAGCAGGTATAGAGAGAATATGAGGGGACCCAGGATGGACCCCTGCAGAACCCCCATTTAAGCTCTGTCGCTGTAGAACTAAAATCCTTGATGGAGACGCAAAAAGATCTGTCAGTGAGGTAGGATCTGAACCAATTGAGGGCTGACCCTGTGATGCCCACCCACTGCTCCAACCTAGCAATGAGGATCTCATGGTCTTTGGTGTCAAAGGCGGCTGTGAGGTCCAATAGGACAAGCAGCACAGAATCACAGGTATCTGTGGATCTGAAAATGTCATTAAAAACCTTCAATAGGGAACCGTGGGGGGAAAAGGAGCAGAACACATGTTAAAAAGAGCTAAATCCATTAGCTAATAAAGAAAAGGAGCAAAAATGTCTAAAGACTAGCTAAAAAAACAACAGTTGCTCAAAGCTCTTTCTGTTTGTCTTTTGAAAGCTCCCTCATCAGGGTGTCGCAACGACGACTCATCTCCCTCTAAGTCCAGTTTCCACCAACACCCTGCTGGATAACATCAGAGATGGTTGTTAGCCCAGACCCCGACCAGTTTGGTAAGGTTGTTGTACAATCCTGTAGGACAGTCCCACATCAGCTGTTTGTTTTGGCACAAGTCCTACTCCAGATCGACTTTTTAACAATACTGCACATATATCTGGGATTGGGATTAGCACCAGAAGTATCCAAGTAGTGCCTTTCCAATTGCTGGCTAAGTACAGCTGGTATAGAAAATAATAAAAACAAACAAAATGCAGAACAACTCTTGAATACTGCAAGTTGTAAAACCCCATCTGACATTTTCCTGGAGCGATTTATGGAAATGAGAAGAAATAGTTGATCAATCCTTCCAACAAACTGGTTTTACTTCATCGGTATGAGTTTTCTTAAATAAACCTCTTCATGCTCTGCCACCATGACTCAACAACCCTTTTCTACGCCCTGGGAATTTATTTTATTCTGACGTGTCAAAAGTACTTGTCACTTTTCATTGCGTGCACCTCAAACAAGCCGGTCCTTATACACCAAGATTGTAATTTTTTTAAATAATTTTTAAATCTACTATTTTTTAAAGCACAAATTTAAAGTTCAGATTTAAAGATTTTGATGGAAACAACTCCTCCTAGATCATTTATGCTCTCAGGGTGTGAAATGTTGATATTAGGCTTTGGTGGTAATGAACAGAACATCGTTTTTATTTATTTATTTATTTATTTTTGCTTGCCAAATTGCTTATCATTTGTCTTTCCATAAAATAATATTTTTTTTTGCAAAAAAACAAAACTAAAAAAAAAACATAAGACAGTTTTCTAAAAACTTGAAACAAAGAAAATAATGTTTATGAGTTTCTTGAAATCCTTTTATGTTAAGAGTTTATCTCATAGTGGACCCACAAAAACTGTCTTAAAGATAAAAACACATTTTACCAGTAATTAATATAGATAATTAAGTTAATCCAAGCCGTTCATATAAATCTATATTTTCCCAATTTTTAATTTGGATTTATATCTCTTATATTTTTGTCAATACATGATTGTCATACTACTCATAGTTTTTAGTTCCTGGTTTAATAAAAAGCCTGAACTGTGTTTGATTGTGTTTTTATTGTTTGTTTTGACATTTTGATTTTTCAGCTTTTTATTTTCAGCCAAAAAACAGTCAATTTATGGAGAATAAATGGTAATGCATTCTGCAGAAAACTGAACTGAATCAGAGAAAGATTTATCTGATGAAACAAATGCACTCAATGGTCCCATAAGACAGAAAAAAATGTACAAATGGAGAGGAAAAAAATAAGAGTATTTTAACAGATGACTTTAAGTTTAACTTTAGAGGCAGTAATAGAAAAAAAATGTTCTAACAAAATAATTTCTAACCTAGAACACCTGACACTATTTATTATCTCTTTAAT